TATGACCACTTCAGTATCTTGAGTAAATGGTAATTTATTTGTGGAGGATACCTTTACAAAAAGTAATTGCTCCAATAAACACTAATGAGTGGTGTGTTTATCTTAAAAGTTGCATGAACAGTTCCTGAGGGTACTAGGGCCAGATGAAGGTCTAAGGGTCAATCTAAAACACAATGCGTTAAGACCTGGTTCCTGGTGTCAGGAGTTCTTCAGTATTTACTGAACAGTCTTTCACTGTGGTTTCCATCCAGTTTCCATGTGTGGTTCACATTGGTTTCCATTCAATTTCTTCGGTGTTTTATTGCTTGCTGATACAAGTTATCCTGGGTTCAATATTCAAATGAAAGATTGGCTGGACTATTCAGGCTTTAAGCAATCTGTCTTTAGGGGATGTATTTTCTAACACGTTTGCCCATACTAGACCCACAAACCTGAAATCCCAGGTTTTAAGCTTACTTAAACTATTTAAGCATTTTCAGATGCCGTCATTCAATTGTAAGGAATTATTGGGTTTTGCTGTAAGAACAAAACCAATCAAATGATTTATCTGGTTTCCAGAATTAAACTTCTGACTATGCCCGCCAGTTTAACAGGTAATCCTTCTAAGTAATTTAGTTGTGGGGTTGCTTTCTGCCTGTCACTACATGAAGGCAAAGATGAAACGTTCCACGGGTTGCTCCATCTAAACAGTAGTTAGCTACAGCTCCTGCTCCTCCCACCAGTGTTTGTATGTATTCGTAGTGGAAAAAGGAGGTGGGGCATAAAGTCTAAAGCACTTGGCCCTATAAGTTGGTTGCAGTTATGGTATTTGATGGAGATGCAATGGACTTAACGTGATCCTGAGCTAGCTCTCCTGACCTCTGTTTGGTTGGCCATACTTGATGCTCTGTGCCTTCCCTTTTCATATGCTTTGATATCATTACTGACCTTTCAGTATCTTCTCCCTCTTTGCTTTTCTTCCTCTTGATACTTTCTTGTGATGTTACCGCATTTTCACATGCTTAAACTTGTTATTTCTCTTCACTGTTAATATTAAGCAGTATGGTGATGTGTCATGCAGCTGAAATGAGCAGCAGCATCAGAGGAAGAGGTGAATCTTTTTCCAGTCCCCTGTTTCAGTCTCCACGTACTTACTTGTCCTTATCCTGTAAAAAGCCCAGTTCTGAAAATTCTTTACCAGGAGAGTTCATACACTAGGTTCATTAGAGTTTGTCCTTAGATACCTGGGTACCACCTCCTAGACCTAGGGAAGAAGAAGACGCAACGCAGGTAGGGCAGTGGTTTTTACCTCCATTTCCTTCATGGTGTATAATTACAAGTCACCTTTTCACACAGTTCCTTATTTGTTCATCAGTAATTTGGAGGCCTTCTGTATGAGCGGATCCTGGGACAGACTTCAAAGTCACTCCCTGACAAGTTGACAAGTGTTCATATGGACTCAGCTCAAACGTTCCGTCACCTGTTGCAACCAGGGTTGCTGGGAGTTTGGACAAACAAGCATTCCCTCATGAAATTAGGGAAGTACAAGTGCATGCAGAAATTATATGCGCAAATTTGAGGGTAGTATTGGAAAACCTGTCCTACAGTATCTTTTTGAATCGTCCAGTAAAAAGGGGTCTTAACGATTTTTGGACTTTTTTTAATGAAAGGCTAAATCTTATGAATCTCCAGTCTAAAGTCTGCTCATATAACTGATATGCTTTTTTTTCTGCCTAAGAATTTCCCTTGCATACACAGCAGAAAAACAAACAAACACAATTCTCTGTTATTTCCCTGAAAACCAAAGTCCTCCTTCCTAGCAAGATTAACTTGTCGACTAATCCTAGAGCAAACACTTTATTTTAATCTATCATTGTTTTCTGACTGTGGGTTTAGCAGAGGTCAGAAAAAGAGATTCATTAAAGTGATTGCACGTTTGTTTTTCTGAAAGCACATCAGAAGATTATTGCTTTGCCAAAGAAAATAAAGAAATACAGTATTTCTTTTAATACACTTCAGCTAAATAAAGTCTTAAAATCACATGCCTTGGCCCAGATGGGGTGTTTGCAGCATAAGGTACAAGTCTTATAATTTCTACTATCTGAAAGCTGCTTAAATGAGCTCTGCTTCAGCCATGCCATTTATTCCACACCTGAGGTGAAGTAACTCTGGTCCCTTCTCTGATGTAGAGCCATCGGAGAGCTGCCTGCCAGTGTGTTTGTGCAAGTCTGTTTGCTTATATAAAGAACCCATTTAAGCTTCTCCACCCAAGAAATTCATGTTGACTTTGGATAATCCCTGGGCGATTTTATTCTGTAAAATAAATAAATAATTTTTCCAAACCTGTGACGCAGCCCAGCTCTCACATATTTTGAACTAACATTTGTGTTGGGGAAACCTGAACTGACACGAAGCATGGGCAATTTTATATTTGTCCAGAAGAAAAATAGGATGCGTGTTTCTATATAGGTTTATGTGATGTTGGACTTTGACCTGACAAGAGTGTAGGGTCAGTCTGGGATAAGGAGGAGCATGTGGATCGCCAGACCCCACGCTGCACACTCATCCTCCGGTCCGGCTCCTCTAGGAGTAGTGCCAATCTGATTTGATTTGGCAACAAACCAGTATTTCAGATGGAAAGGAAAAGTTGTATTAAACATCTGAAAGAAGTCTCGGGGGTCAGCATTGGCTGAAAGTCTTTTAAAATCACTTATTTTCAAGAACTATAGCTATGAAAGGAAAGTCAAACGTTAAAAGATGTGGTGATGTACCACTGGAGATGGCAGTGCGCGAGTAAAACAGTATGGAAATGATAGCAAATGTTTATAAGGGAAAATTGAGCTGCTCAACCCAACAGACGGTAACATACATGGACTCAACAGAACACACTCCTTCACTTGTTGCTGTATCCAGCAAACCATCATATTTCTAGTATTCTGTGTTTTATGTACGTTATAGATACCCTTAATTAGACTTGCAATGTCGACAGCCTACTCCGGCATGAGGTTAAGCTGCTGTGTAAATAAATTAAAAGTAGGAAGGACAGCTTTTGCTAAAAATAGAAATGAAATTTAAAAATAATGTTTTGGCCTTAGGCTTTTATTTAGGGTTTCGGAAAACAGAACAAGCTCTTTGTTTTCCATTACTTGTAGAAAGCCTAATAGGCAAAATATTACTTCTCATCTAATTTTGCATTCCTTGAGTGTGTTTTAGTAAACCCCCTTTTCATTTAGAGTAAACTACTATAAATTATGCTGGGATATGATCATTAGTAGTTTTAGTAGAAATATTAGTTTAACTAAAGAACTTCTTTGTTGTGACCTCTATGGTGATAGTTTATCTCAGAAAAAAGTCATCAGAACACATGCTTTAGCAATTACTTTTCTTCGAAAGGTTATGTTTCATACAGATGATCAAAAGGGCAAGATAGTGGCAGCCTACTTAGGCTACCAATTAATGCAATCACTGTCAACCCCCCGATGACTTCACTACAGTAGCGTTAGTAATTTTTAGCATTTGGGGTTGCTGACCAATTGCCATCAAATTTACCACATGCATATTAAACAAAATAGTCAGCCTTTATAATTTGACGAACTATGTTCATGGACAGAGGCAGAAGGGCTTCTGTTATCACTTTGAGCAGGCACAAAACCAACTACATCAGAAATGGATCTACACTGCCAGCTAACTTGCTCTTACCGTAGTTTTTCAGTGCCTTTCAGTCCCTTTAATGTACATATCTTTACTGTGTCTCTGTCCGATGGATATTTTCTTTCTCATCTATTTTTCACATAGGGAACTGATGCAGAGGATGTCAAAATAAACCAGGTGGGAAGTTAAACACCTAATACTTGGTGGGGTGCTTAGGACTGTGTGTGCTACCTCTGTTAGCTGCTCCTGAACTGTTAGAGGTGGGTGGCTTTGGCCAGGAACCCGTATGCTGTCCTTAGGACCATAGCTCAGTAATGAGGTAGCCCCCATTATGTGTCTGAACCTTGCTGCAATGAGATTTGGCTTATTCCAGACCAAAGCTGCATGGCAAGATCAGGGGTTTAAACTGGAGTATGAAATCAAGCCCTGAGATAATAGGATGGATTTAAGAGATTAAGTGATATTAGTGCCAGTACATCTCTTTCAGATAAGTTATAGGCATACGTTGCTTCATGCTTTCTGCCTCTTTTCTTTCATTCCTTTTTTCAGTATTTCTTCTAACATTCTTTTCCATTGAGTAGTCCAGCTTAAATTGGAGTGGTGTATCTGTAATGTAGCTTTTAGTTTAGTGGGTAGAGCATTTTTCTAGCAGATGGAAGAGCTGTGAACCCCCTTAGACTGGGGATGCTCAAATTGCTCTTAATTGTTACAGGCATCAGATCATCCTTGTCTTGCTGACTGGCCAGGAACCAAGTAGTGAAGTCCTCATTGTGAGTGATGGCCCAAGCTCTTTTAGGAGGTCCCTGCAAAACAGGAATGAAATTGCACAATAACCCAGAACCATGAAGCTCTAACTTGATCTTCTTTTTTGTAGCTGGACTGGCAATAAGAACCTGCCTAAATAGGGGTAGTTTATGTAAGTGCAGTGCTCCATGTTAATGCATAATAACATATATAATAGTTTGTCTTGAGTGAAGGGACTCTGTTCCTGGCCAGTATTGCTATTGTAAGTCCTGATCTTTCAGTGTAAAGTTGGATTGATTTAAACTGGTCCATTGCCTTGAGTTTGGTCTTGTACTGAATGAAGGGGAATGCTAGATGATGTGCCATCAAGTTCCATGTGTATCCTTCCCTGGTTCCTCATCTACACATAAGGCTTCACATCCTGTACATGTGCTTCATCAATCTATACCTGTGGTGGTAACTTAAGATTAAATTTTTAAGTTTGGGGTTTGTTTGGTTTTTGGTTTTTTTTTTTTTATTATTATGAAGTTTATTTATTTCAGAGTTTTCCAAAGAAGCGAAAGAAAAATGAGATACTTGAAATTTCTATTATTGAAACAAAGGACTTCTTTTCTTTTATGTTTCAGACACAGATATTAAGGAACTAGAGGATGTTTTTGGACTTAACGGACAAGTAGAGCATAAGCTGAACTTCCTCAAAAAGAATGTATCGAAAGATATAAAGCTGGTACTGATTGCTCATTCTATTGGTTGCTACATCACACTGGAGATGATGAAGCGAGCATCAGAACTTCAGGTACATTAACGTTATAGAATGGGAGTTTTCTAATTAGCAAAGTGGTGCACATGCTTAGCCTATGGGTAATGCCATGTCTTTCCTTTGGAAGCTCTATTCTGCTATACACGAACTTTCAACTAAAATGAAATAAAAACATTAATGACTAATCCTAATAACGTATAATAAAGAACTTTGATGGAAATTTTACTCTGTTATTACTTTGAATTTGGACCTTCAAATGACCTTGTAATATAAATGATTAATAATGATGATAAATATATTTAGGACTTTCTTGATGTCTTCTCATCTTTAAGCAATTCATGAGAAGATTATTAGGTATTTGGCAATTATGTTATGCCACTACACCAAAAATTAAGACTGGTTATGATTTTAATAGCAGCTTCTTATCTCAAAGCAAACAGATTGCTGGCTATACATGGCGAAATATATGGAAAAGAACAGTAATATAAATTGCAATGAGTACTATCATGAAGGATGTTGGTTTTAAAATGGAATGCACATATCATTGCGCCTGCAACTCAGTCTTGGTTTGTGTAACTCGATGAGAGTGGGAAGTGTAACTGCATGTTCTTGTATTTCTGAACATTTTTCATTGTCACTGTGAAGCAATAAGAAGGCTGAGGCAGGACGGTGTCCTTGCAACTCTGGAAATGGCAAACTGTTAGTACTCAGTAGTAACTCGGATCTATGAGTGGATAATGAATGAGGAATACTGAATTTTTATTCTTAAACATTCAGTCTTGCTAAATCATTGCCTCTTCCTTTACATTATAAAATCTTCAGTGGAAGGAAGCACAGTGTTAATGTAAAGTCTGTGTTTAATATATGTATGCATAGGTTCTTCCATTTCTTCATAACCATTTCCACTGCACGTCTTAACTTTTTTTTCCTTTAAAGGAAACAGCAACTAAAAACGTGAAACATGAGGTTAACCTGATATATTTCCACAGGCATATTTCACTTTGTGATTATAAACAAGGGCACTCTTTTTGAGAGAACTTTTATTACTGTTTTATCTTTTCAGGAGGGAGTGTTCTAGAAAATATCATATGCAGTAATTTGTCCAAAAATATCAACTTTTCTTTGTTCAACATCTGTGCAGTCTTTATTACACAAATGATTTTATCTGGTTTCAATTAAGCTATGAATTGTTGAGTAATTTTTTTACACCTGGCTCACTGGATACTGGCAGCATGCTATTCATCAATGTTTTCAAGCATAGGTATCTTTGGGACACTTTTAGACTGCATAGTGCACTGTGTGCATGAAGTTAATATATGGCAAACTACATTCAAGATGCATTTAACAATAGAAAATATTTGTGTAAGCCAGAGTGTTGTGCAACCTTTGTCCCTTTGCCAAAAATAAGTTAACTGTTAGCTTTTATAACATATGAAGTGTGATAATAAGAAACTTGTGTTTCCATCTCTCCCTTTATTTTTACTGGAATATTTGATTCCCACAAGATTTTGAGCACATATGTGTATTTTAGTAGCTAGATCATTTGATTTTATTTTTGTGTAGTTCTTATGCGGTGTTCTTCTATTACATGAGTTTTGGTTTTGGTCTTAAATTCTCTGCTTTAAGAGCCTTTGATTGTTTACAGTTTATTATTCTGAGCTAGAGGTTAATGTGTTGTGTTTATTGTTCAAATAATTCAGTGAACGTTTATGTTTGGAGTGTATGTTTCGCAGATTTGATTTTTCTTACACAACTTAAAGCCCTTTCGTAATCTAACTCAATATAGACTGGATTGTCCCTCTCTTGTGCATTGATGAGGGAACCTGATGAACTTGAGCTAGCCTGCGTGAAAAGGAGAAAGTACTGTCTCCTCCTCTCTCCTTCTTGGTTGCTCTTCAGCTGTCGGTTTTGAATGCTGCTAATTTCTTGGGCCCTTGTGCTCTGCAGGTTAGTGGGGTACTGTGGGGTTTTTTCCTCAAACTTCTGTGAAATAATGCTTTCTTACTTCATTAAAAGAGAAATGAAATGGAAATTGCCAGTTTACTCCAGGATAAATTCAGTTTTGAACCCCATCCCTATTTTCCTCTTCTCTCAGGGAGGCTTCTGTTAACAGTTTCTTCAGGAGACCCCTTAACACAAACTTAGTCTTAGGTTGATGCCTTTAACTAAGTCTAATTAGCAGAGAAGGGCCTCACAGGTTACACCCATATGTGTAACTAAGTGGGGCTGCTGCATGGATTTGAGTACTGAGCCAACTCTGCAGTGATGGTTTTGGACTAGTCTTTAAGAGACTTTTTGGCCCAGAACAGCCAGTAACTCCCAGACAACAGCCTGGCATGGTTCTGGGCTTGCAGAGGCCCAGACCCATTCCCAGTTGTTAGTTTGGATGCAGACATCCTGTTTGGAGGCAGGGAGAGATTCAGCCACGTGGACACAGACCTTCCTATGCCATCCTGTCTCATGGCAAGACCAGGGACGAGTTCCTGGCCAGTCTGTTTGCTGGTGCATGCGTAACCGTGAACACTTCTCGGTTGTTGTGGTGGGCATCAAGTCTTAAGAAGATTCACTTCTCTGTGGGAAGTGGAGCATCCAGACTTTGCCAGACTGCTAAAAAATTTCCTTCCCCTTCCTGGGAAGGAAAAATGTTAATCAACCTTTCCGTGTGGAGACGGAAAAATGCAATAATGTTCAGCTTACTTGATACTTGGTCTTAACCTCATAGTCTTCTTCGCTCTTCATTCAGCCAGCAGAACTGAAAAATGAAGCTGAGTGGCAAAATTATTTTCTCAGTTGTTGGACCTTGAGCCCAACTCATAAATACGCTACATCCTCCAGGCATTCTCTTCTAAAATACAAATCCTTACTTGGAGGATTTCCTTGTGCTTTGCTGGCTACACTGCTGAGTCTTTCCTAAAACAGGCTGTTTGATCATTAATTTAATCAGAAGATTGACATATTTCCTTGCTAATGAAATTCAGTCTGTTACAGCATTAGTCTTTCATTTGCAATGATGTGTTTGAAATGCCAGCTTCTGAAATGCCAGCACCTTTGTGGTAATAAATTAACACTGATTAATGAGTAAAACCATCACAAAACGTAAGCATTGCTCTTCATGTAAAACTCATGGAGGGGGAAGAGTTTAAAACCTCTGAGTATGTATCAGTTTAAGCAAATATAATTTCCGTATTTATAATTCAAAACCATATATTGCTACTGTGTCTCAGTGGTGTCAAAGATTGTTGGGTGTTGCTAGAACTTAGTTGATTTTATAAATAATAGCTAACAAAACATATTTGGAATAGCTGTGTATAAAAGAACTTCACACCTTGGAAACCCTGACGCATAATTTCTGTGTACACGTTCATGTGCATCTGCCTTATCTTTCCTAACTGTGTTCTCTTCCAGACAGAAATCTGTTGCTCTGTACTTTTCTTTCGAGAAAACTGATGAGCGTAACAAAATGCCATAGTTTGCATTTAACAATGCCACATATTTATACAGTAGCATAACCCTATTTTCATGTTTTTCTTTTGTCTGTACATGAACTGCATTCAGGTCTTTCACTTGAGGAGCTACAACTTGTTCAGGATCTGGTAATGTGCATAGCTTAGAAGGTTACTGCAATGTGTCTTATTCTTCATAAATGAGTACTGGCTTCCACCCGTCAGGAGGCTGCTAACCAAGCTTTCTTCCGTTAAGCAAACATTGCTTCATTGCTGACTATTCTAAATTATTTTATGATGTATAAAATGTTGGTGCTATTCATTCGCTTTTACAAATAAATTAAACATGCCTAACAGGAGGTGTTGGGCATTTGTTGTTAACCTTTTGAACTACTGAAATTGGCTGTATATCCCTGCTGTTGGTTTTCTGTCTGTTTAGCCAGTGTCTAACACATACAGAAATGTTTCTTTCACCCATTATTAATATTAGTGATCACAGGGATTGAATGACCTCAGTGGAAGCATTTTGTTGGAGCTTTTTGAATATAGTTATTTTAGATGACTCTCCTGTATGTGCATTGTAGCTTTATTTCTTCTTTAAATTTTTCAAACTATTTAGTTAAAAAAGCAAAGGAGCTTTCATCTATAAAACATTATTGTTTTTACTTCTGATCTTAGAGAAAGCCAGAAATACATTTTATCATTCTTTTTTAAATTTAGCTGATAATAGATTTTTCTTTTCTGTCTTTCTTTTCTGTCATTCCAAAGTTTCTGTTGTTGCATTGTTAGTAATGGGGTCTTTTATTACCCTTGCTGCTCCCCTAAATCACACCTTTAGCGTGACATATGTGGTTTCATCCTTCAACCAAAAGGCCACGTTCCATCTGTTGTGAACAGCTTGCGTGGAAACGTGGATGGCCTACAGGTACACAACAGAATGACAGATGTCGTGACTCTCTTAGCTTCCCCCCACCGCGTATTTTCTAGAAATCCACTTCTTCCCGATTACCTGCAGCATTTACAGCACATCTTAGTGGGAGGAGACACCTGCCCATGGCCCCTCTGACAAAGACGTTGATTGGGATATGACATTTCAGAAATGTTCTTCTCTTTGCCATCTCTTGGTCAGGGAGGGTTTTTTTTTTATTTTTTCAGTGTATGTGAGAGATTACCTGTATATCTAGAAGTCATTTTTTTTAAAAGAAACTTTACTAAAACAGTGAAAAATGGCAATAGATAATTTGCATTGCAGTGTATCTTTGTATGCAACATAAAATGTGATAAGTAATTATTCACTTACGGAAGAAATGAAAGACCTCTCTTAACAATGTGTGAACCTCTATCCATAAATACTGTTTTGCAGTAAGGCACAATATGAAGTTTAAAGCAAATTAGCTATTCCTGAATAAGTCACGTAAAACATTCTGATTCTAAACCCAATGCCTTTTACTGATATAGCTTAAATTGTTTTCAAAATAGCTTAAGGTAATGGTTTTGAATGTATTCTGGATTCATTCTGGACAAGAGTGTTCACACATGAAGTTATTCAGGAATATTGCCATGTTGAGATATTCTTTACTGAGACTTTAACTT